TCTGTCTTCCTAATGACACTCGCTTGAGATAAGTGTGTTTTCTTTTATTTCTCTTTTTTTTTTTACATTTTTCTTTTTGTCTTTTCCCTACGTAGTACTGCATACTACCGAAACCTTCCGGCACGAACCATTATGTAGGAGCATTTAAATTCAATTCAATAGTTTAATTAGTTTAGCTGATCACCTTTTTAAAGGTATCGAGAATGGTTATGCCACCAATCGAGCGTTTATTGATTACCGTTTATAGTTTATAATTTCTACGTTTCTTTTAATCGTTCCTATAACATCATTAACAACGTTTTTTTCATTAATTATTATTTGTTTAACCATTATAATAATATTTAAAAGATAACATGATTGGTTGTCGCGTCAATGCCAATGGCCAGAACGTGCTATATTATTATATATTTATTTTTTTTTTTAACTTTTGCTTAATATATTCTCAAAAAAAAAACCCGCCTGCGAGACTATCCGTTAACGAGATCTCGATATTCTCCTTTTCCTTTTTTTTTTTTTGTTTATTTTGAATTCGCGATGACTTTTTCCCCCGTTTCTCCGATTCCGTTACTTTTTTTTTTCGGGCCTTCGTTTTCCGTTTTCACTCTTCGTCGAAGGACGAAATTATTTTTCATCGAGGACTTCTTTAAGCCTTTCTCCGTTGACGTCGAAATGTTTCGTTTCGAATGCGTAATGCTTTGGAGGTTTTTGATTTCAACGTCTACTCGAAACGGTAAGAGCTTAGATGTATACACGGCTATACGGAATTAAACAGTTTTAATCGCTAATTTGGTTGAGCATCAAAAAATGGAGAGCTATCAGAACAACACTGTATCAGAAATTACAGCTAAAACAGTTTCACGAATAGAGTTATTTCCCTAACGATTTCACAAACGCGCAAAAGAAATATTCTGTACCCGGTTCACAATTTAAATTACTTACAAAAGTTGACGGATTATTCGACACTCGATATCATTCATGGCTTAGAAAAATCACTGCACAAATAATCAATTAAGTTAGCGAGCTCTCGTACGATATTCACAGGCACCAGATCTTTTACAGTATATGTTTTATGCGAAATTTCATTCGATACTCTTCAGGCATGTGCGAAAGCTACCACCTCGCGAAAAAAGTTAGTCTTAGGAAAACCAGTTTGATGAAGAAAAAGTTTCTTCAAGAACATGGAACATCAAGCGTAGTGTTTTTAATTAAGTATAAGAACAACGTTTGGTTAGTACTCGTGAGACTCGGTATTCTCAATTTTCTCCTTTCCTTCGTTAACAATCTACAGTTTTAAAATTAAATCGACAGCGTAAAAAGTGATCGAAATTATTCTTCGCTACTCTCGACTGAAACAAGCGCCGATACCTTGTTCGAAACCTCCGTACAGAGTTGTTCCAATAAAAACTCAACCAAAGACCAGACGGAGCCTGGCGAATTACGCGATTATTGAAATTAACGAAGTACAGCTTTGAATCTAATCTTAGAAACTCGAAACATTCACAGCTCGCAAAGGTAACCCCAATCCCTCGCCAATTTTATTCGTCCAGGTGTGTACGCGTGTTCTGTCGTGCCACGAGTCTAAATAGTAAATGGGATATCATATTAAATACTGAGCACTCGCGATATTGACTAAAGTGTGTTTTTTTTTTTCTGCTTCTAAACTCCTAGCCGACAGAAATTCGACACGATCCACATAGTGCGTTTAAATCTAACCGACTTCGTGGAAACACTTCAAGCATAGCGAAATTCCCATCGTATCGCATTCACCGTCGTTGCGTGATACAGTATAGCGCAACAATTGTTCAATTCATGTTACCGAAACTTAATTTTTAAACGAATAGTCGATGCGCAACGGACAGGACCGATCAAAGGTTTGGGTAGATTGTTTACATTTTGCGAAAGAAGGTTGGACGACTTATTTGACCATTAGTGGTTGATTATGTGAACAAAATGGAGAATTTTCGGAAATGACGAGGTGGCCATATATGCTCTTCCATGGAGATTTATTCTAAGATTAATTATACTGGGTAGCAGATAAATTCTTCCGTAATATGACTACTTACTGGTGAATTAATTTATGCGAGTAGCCAGTGAGTATTTATTTAATGTAACGTTTTCGATTCCGCTGTAGGTCTTTCTCAGTAAAAGAAGATATTTTCATCGTGATCAGCTTTAAAATTTATATATGTATTTTACCTCTTTTATTACTATGGGATATACTTTTTTTCGAATTATTGATAGTAGCAGCATCCAAAGTTAATTTTTCTATGTAAACACTATAGGATTTAGTTTCTGTACATATTCTACATATTTTCTAATCTTCTTACTCGTATTCTTAATAATAAACTAAATGTTTTTAACGAATTCTATTAAAAGAATATTTTGACATTTTCTTGGAAATTGTTATTCGCTCCTACTTATTCTATCAGAATTGAAGCACACGATCGTCACTGAGGAAGATCGATTCCAAGGTCGACAACGTTACATTTAATAACTCATCGTTGAATTTTTTGGAACGAGCATTCGATGGCTTTCTACATACTTACTGATGACTTTTAATAGTTATAGCTTCTCAAGGCTTCATCGACGTATAATAAGTAGCTTTATTACTACAGAGTTATTAAAAAAAGATCTCCAGAGTTGTTACAACACATCATTGTACGATGGACAATGTATATAAAAATTAGGATTGAAGCTGTTGGATATAATAATTGAGAAAGGTAGGGCGACAGTTATCAAAAGTGTGTCCTTTTTAGTAAACTTCGTACAACCTTCATCTTTGCGTAAATTTCAGCTGCATGACGGCAAGAAAATTAGGAAATTTATTTATCACTTATACGCTAACCCAAACTTTCGTGTGTAAATAATGAAATCATCGACGGTTTCATTAGTTACATCATTGCAGTGGTTGTCTTCATCGGCAGTCTGAGGATGCACTGATAATAATAACCGTTCGAGTTACGGTTCTTCGAATTTCTATGTCAGCCGCAGTGATGGCGAAACGTCGTGATCACTTTCCGAGAGAACGTCGTTCGTGTCCCCTGGCGCAGGGATGGGCAACCGAACATGTCACGAGCACGATCTCGTTTCAGCTCACGTGTATCGACGAAATAACTACAGACCACTTGACGTCACAGTGAAACTTGGCGCAGGAGTAACCGCAGGAATGGGGTGTACCAACGTCTACGACACAGTGGTCGAAATGCTCGATCTGGATGGACAGAAAACAACAAATCTGACTACCTGTAATTATCAAAAGGAAGGTAAGTATTCTTGCAGTGGTATTATACTACATTCACTATTCTCAGCAAAAATTCACCATCGAAATACAAACCTATAATTTTAGCTAGACAATTTTTCTCAATAGACGTGGAGGATACGAATACTTATGGAACTGATTGTATAATATACAGCAAAACTAACAAATACAACGTTTAAAGAAACAAACATGAATCGCCAGATGTCAGTTACAGACACCAAAATTTTATTTTTATAGTTCAAATAGAATCAATGTATAAAAACGTAAATCAAGGGGCCCACTCAGTTGCTTAAGCAACGATAAGAATTCTTATCATACTCAAACAAATTTGTCCACCTAAATTGAGCACCCCCGCCACTACGTAACGTACACTTACGCACTGCTGTCCGTCCCACGTGACTTCCTTTTCCTGCGGTCACTTCCCGCCCGTTACTTCCACCGTGACGTCATTCTCTTCGCGTGTCCGTCGATTGCCAACACCCCATGGGTTCTGGCTCGTGGGCCATCCAGTTGCCCATCTCTGCTCCGCCAATCTCAGCTCAACGCAAAGAGGACAACATTTCGTAATAGCGGTTTCTGAAAAATACGAATGTAAAGGTCACAAGTTCCCGTCGTTGTTCGCAACGGGGAACATTCTATTCGTTTAATTTCGAAACTCGTTGAAGACTGTACGCTTTCGGTTTGTGTTCGCTATCGCATAATCCGTTTACATTCTAAGAAAAGGGGTTCACTTTGCATCGACGTACGACAAAATCGATCGGATCCACCCGCGCGTTCCGTTGACGGATAATCCGACTTGGGCACTTTTGCAGGCAAATTGCAAACGGTTATTGGCCATTTAGAGCGAGTGGCGTGCGGTCGGAGAGCAAGAGATTACTCGAGAACCAAGCTTCGGCGGTCGCTCGAAATCGCGGAAAGTTCGTATCGAGTGCCGACCCAAATTGCGGGGCTCGTTCGTGGATGAAAAAGTGCAAGTCGCGCCTCGAACGAGCTCCTAACCGGGGTTTCATCGATCCAGAGATCGTCGAGACTCGCGTCGTTCGAAGGCGACACGACTTAAAAAAGTAAATATACACTACCAGGCTCGAGTTCGTTCGAATCGCCAGTCTCGGATCCCTTCGAAAATAAACAAAGGACACGGCGCCCTTTTCTTCGGCTGAGAGTTTCACTTGGAAGATTCGGAAGCCTCACTTGAAACGTTAGATCTCGGAAAAGTGTTGCGAGTGAATCGTGTAACTGTGTTGTACCTTGTGTGTGGGTATGTCGGTAAGAGAGAGTGTGTGTTTATGTACCGTGATGTGGGCTCGTACAAGCGTGTACAGAGGGACAACGACAAACGATGTCCGCTGATAGAAGGGAAAGAAACGCGTGGAAAGAAATGAAGAAAGATGCTGCGCTAAATCAATCGTCACCGTCGCTATCCTATTCTTTTCGTACGTATACGTGAACATGCGTTCTCCCCGCGTCAATTTTATTACACCATTCGGCTCGCTATAACGCCCCGCGGATATCGTTGATATCCTCTTAAGCTAACAGAGAACAGTAGTTGCTTTTTTTTTTGTTTAACGCCGCGCTGTCGCACGCCACCTTATAATCGTAGTATAAATCCCCCGTTTATTTAAGTTGTCGTCGATTTACTTACTAGTGATACGGATAATAAAATTCACTGGCATTGTCTTGAATCATCTTGGCAGTTCATTGTGTTTAGTATTATTTTACTTATCTCTTTTTTTGTCTCTCACTCTCTCTCTCTCTCTCTCGCTCTCTCTCTCTCGTCTCGTTTTTATTTTTCATTTCTTCTTCTTCTTCTTTTTTTTTGCATTTTCAGGTTTTCGGAATTATTTAATGTGTGTGCGCTTTGCTCTTAATCGTGTTTTGCTTCGGTTTCGTCTCGTTTTTTTTTTTATCTCTTTAAGCACAATAAAAGGAGCAGTGTACCCTTCTTCAGCTATTCGCTCTCTCGTTTGTATCTCTCCCTCTCTCTCCTTCCTATGAGATGCTCTCTCGTTTTTGGGACGGACACCAGGGCCAAAACGGAAAATCGTTTCGCGACCGTGGACCGCGTCCCGAAAACTCGATTTATCCTTTAACAAATTCAAACGCTTCGACGGTCCTCAGTGCTCTGTGTTTTCGTGTTCAGTTTGCGCTTGGGCGCGTATGTACGTGTGTGTATGTGCGTGTGTATTTGTGTATATGACGCACCTATACACGCGGTTCTATTTGCATCTCGATTGCAAGCTATTGCAGAAACAAACTAGAAAGATAAACGGTTTTCGGGTTTCAACGGAATTATTTTTTTCGCGAGTTCAGGAGGCGGAATTTCTTTTTTTTTTGTAAATACATTGATTTCCACTACGCGATTGAATGATTCTTTGTCAGTGGAAAAAATCAGTGGTGTGATTAATCCTATTGGTTGAAAACTGGGCGGAAGGAACGATTCATACAAAAATACAGAATAAATTGAATGATCAATAGGAACAAACTTATATAGCATTGCGAGATGAATAAAATAAGTCTGGTGAACATACATGTGTGACATCGTGGAAGAAGTCTGTGAAAGGATATTTCTCATTTTGTTTTACCAATAGACCTTTGTGCATTTGAAATAATAGACTGATACTATGAATTTCTGAGGCAAAGTCAATTTAATTTTATTGCTCTCGATAGAAGTGTATCTGGTCATGCGTGACATATTCCTTTTGACTGCGAAATATACATGTAATTGTTTCTTGAGTGTTCTCTTTCGAATTACTCAGGATAAGTTGGAAACAGTTCAGGAATAAATACGAAGTCATTGTCGAATTGTACAGTGGAGTAAATCTATAATAAATACCAACCAGTTCCCTGATCCACGCCTTGGATTATGAGTTAATCAACACCTAGACATTTCATCGACAGCCATTAGCAAAAGTACAAAATCAAACCAAACTCGAGCGAACGAAAGAGTCGCAAAGATCCCCAACCCTGATCATCCGCGTGCCACGCGTATCGGTGTTTCATGTGAGTGTACGTGTGTGTGTATCCTTTCCACGCCCTCCATGTAGGCGCATTATCAACGTGTCTCGCTAAGGCGTCCTCGTGGAATGAACTACATGATGAGATATTTCTTAAGTATCGTAAAGAACGAAGAGCATAATCTTCGCATTGTTTTCATCCTATCGCGGCGCAGATCTCCCGAAACGTGACAACGCACGAGCTTGAAGCGTGACCCCGTGGCGAACGTCCATGAGTGGATGCGTCGTTTTGGGCGTCGTTCGCGATGGCCCGTCGTTTCCGACGCATCCGTGACGTCCGTCGCGTGCGAGGTCTTCGTCGTGTTCGTCGTCATCCGCACCGTAACGCCGCGCCAGTGCACGATCCTCGTCGACCTCCGACCCTCCGGCGGCTGCCTGAGTTTTTTGAATCACGTGACGATGATGTGCGGCGCCGTCAGTAGGACGGTGATGGTAGCGATGATGGTGAACAGAGTAAAAATGATTAGGCACATTCTGTCGATCACCATCGCCGCGAACTTCCAGTCGTTCGTCACCTTCGTGTCCAACTCGTCCGCCTTCAGCTGATCCGTTATTATCTGGAGAAAAGAGAATACGCGTTTTCAGATGTATCGCTAAGAAAAGAAAATTGAAAGATACAGTCTTTAGAATGCGAGAGATTGAAAGGAGCTTCGACTACCAGGGCTTCCTTGAATCTAACTCTTCGGGCTCTGCGCCATCTCGTTGGCCAAAATGTTCCAACGGGATTCGCATTACATAAAATAGTTGAAATCGTGTCTTTTTTTATATTATTAAAGGCGATTATAAATTCTTATAGCTTTATTGAAGCGTTGAGTTCATTGCAAACATAAAGGATTTATATTTGCAGTGGTGTCCGTAACAAAATTTGTTAGATTTACGATATCCCCTCATAGGGACATTCGAGTGCAAACGGCTAATATTGAAGAGGGCACAATAATCGTTTGAATACATTATTTAATTAGTTTAATTAGTAAATTTGTTTAAAGAAATGCGAATTTATTAACATGAACCGCTACTAGATAAAAGAAATTATCGTCCATAGAACATCACCAAAGTCAAAACAATCTGATAATTGTTTCTCAGAAGGTCCTATGTATTTTCCTAAAGATTTTTAACGAATTGCATGTTGTATCAGGTATTAGACGTAAATACTATTATATTTCATACCATAAACTCCTAAACTTCGTCTGCTATTATACAATATCAAAATATTTCAAATTCTGAAATTACTATTTCCGTGCCCTAGGGATATCGAAGGAATCGAGGGTTCTTAGACCATGTAATTGTTTCGCAACGATTGTAATTGTGTCCGATTTTACCCGAACGTTCAATTTCCGTTGAATATTCGGACTCATAATTATGAGCGCCGATAGGTTTCGAGTGTTTGACTTCGCTGTATCAGTTCTGCTTCGAGAAATGGTACGAGCTTAATAATCCAACACAAACAGTCGTAGCAGGGATTGATTTCACGATCGTCAGCAAACTTGACTTATGTTTGTTCCGCGGCTATATACGTGACGTTTAAATGAAAGTTTTGACATGCATACACACATGCACCTGCTAGAAACCAATTTGATGGATTTCAGCGAGCTGAGGCAAATGAGATTCAGTTCACTGACAGATTAGCTTCAAGTAATTCAGCCAACTAAATAAACGTGTATATTCACTTTTAGATGTGCTATCATATTTTAATATATATAATAAAAAGTGACACTAATTTTTGAATATCTATTATGAGTATCTAAATCCCGCCATAATTAAAAAAAAAAATAATAATATATTTGTTATATTAATTTTAAACCTGTGTAAGTAATAAAATTCTAATTTTGTGCAGTATGAGTGTTATTTTTCTTTTAAATAACGAACTCTATTTAAGTAAAATAACTTGAGAACTTTTGTCCTGAGACTTCTGAGCGTTAGGGCAAGTGGAAATGTACCTTGATCTCTTTCAGGATCAGGATGAGCTCGTATCTGGCACAAAAACACGCGTTCTGAAGTATCGTTTCGACCTGTGGACCAGGCGTTTCCGGTGGATGTTGATGATGATGCGGCGTGTGACCGATCTGGTGCGCCGGATAAGAGGTGTGCGCCAATGGCGTTGCGTGTTGATGATGCGGCGTCGCAACGTGGCTGTGATGATGATGAGGTGTCGCATGTATGTGGCTGTGCCCATGGCCTATCGTGTGGTGGTGGGGGCCAGGTGTACTGTACACATTGTTCAGGAGGTTATTGTGGGACGCCAAGGCGTTGTCCTCGAGGTCCAGGACGTTCGCTATGAGGGACTTGCTGCTTCTCTGATGAAGCTCCAGGTCGCCGTATGTCTTGCTAGTACCTGTTTACACGAAACAAATCGATGGGTTAGTAAAACATTTTCAAATTAAGCCTTTGTTACATTTACTTTAACACCAAATATTTGGAATATTTAAGACTTGGAGGAATGCTAGCATTTACTTTGGAATTCTTGCAAGTGATTCAGACGTTTAGGATAAAAGTTACAATTTTTACTAAAATCTAGGTTGGTCATTTAAATTTGTATCACGAGTAGATAGAAATACGTTTCGACTTGTAATTTGAACATTAATAGAATAAATTAATCCTTTGTCGTATGGTTTTTTTATAATCATGACATTATTCTCTTCTTCTCATATTTTTGTGTATTAAACACCTAAGTCAGAGATCAAAACGCAAATATATTACTATTTGTACGTCTCTACAAATACAAGTACAGGATGGATTCGTACGAAGAAGAAATTGGAACAAGGATGGATAGCTATTAAATATTGCTGCCAACATTTAAACTTCTAAATAATTAATTACTTCTACATTTTGTATGCTGGTTAAGTGTGCCTCCAAAAATGAGATTCATATGGATACACGTGACTCGAAATAAGTCAGGTACAGTGATGGAAAGTGTACTGTGCACGTTCCGGGTGGTGTATGGTGTCGACTGAGATTATTTGTTTGTGTGAAATAGTGGTGGAACATTTATTTAGATAGTAGTAATTGTCGTCAGTACTTGTGTCGATGCTTTTTCGTGTCACTATATTACCGGTGACTGGAGACGGTTTCTGAGACTTTTGCGTCTCCTTCTCTTCTTTATCAGTCGGTCGTGACATACAAAGTACATAAGGCAGCCAGTCAAGAAATATCACTCTCACCTGTAAAGCAGAGTCAAATTTTAATTCACATGTAAAATATTCAGAAATATTTCAATATTCAGTAATGATTATTTAAGTGTATGTAGAAATTCATGTTGTATTGAACTTAATAAATATAGGACTATATGAGGCTATATAATTCATGTTTACAATTATGCAGCATATACTTAAATTATAACATATTTGCTCACGATGGTGGTTCTTTGAATTTTCCATTCAAAATTGTTGTTCAATAGATAATACAGAGTAAGAATAATGATATTTATTGTCGATGAAAGTGATTGAATCAATAAAGTGATAAGTGATTCATTATTTGAATAATGAATTTCGAAACATACGTGGCTAACTTGGAGGATGTGAATATCTAAATATTAAAAATAAACGAATTAGTTCGAAAATTTCACGTTGTTTCAACTTATTATCTATTATCAAATTAAAAGGAAAAGGATATACATCGGAATGATGAATGTCATAATTTCAGTTCATTCCTAATGGCCGCAAGCATGATTGACGTTTATTTTACTCAGAAAGAGTGAAAACCGGTTAGGTAATTCCCGAAGATCGTGATTTTTATTGAAAAATTAACTATGCGTGGCGTTTATGCGAATCTCGTAGCCCGGGGAATATAATAGATAGTAAAATCCGTACAAGGAATAACCAAGTGTCTCGGAAAAGGGTGAATCGAGTTAACGACCAAAGTAAACCTGAGGGGTACTTTCAAGCACATGGTCTCACGCTAATTGAAGCCACACATACGATGAGTTCATCCACGAAGTAGCTTCAGAGCGTGCAGATGGAGGAGACGTAAGGCCTCTGATTTTGGTCAAAATAATGCAGGGAGATACTTGCACTGGATACGTAAAATGAATACAAAGAGGAATGAAGGGCTACGGAATATAGTTAGTTACAAATACCAACGTTGCCGTTGCAATGAAGTATTTTTATATTGTTCGTTATCAATTCATTGAATAAATACTTACCCAATCGGACATTTCGTGGGTATCAGAGTTTCGGTGATGGTAATTCAAAATAAGGATGGTGCTGACAACACTGCTGGCCACCATGAACATGATGCAGTTGAAATACGTCCCTATAGAAATATTATACAGCTTTAGAAACGAAAAACATTTCTAATTGCTCTTATTTTGCCCTCAGAGTGTGATTGAAGCTAATGCATTAGGTTGGTATATGATTACAATCAATTGATGACGGAGCAGACTAAAATGGATGTTATTGACCCGGATGATTGAAACACTGGAAAAACGACATTTCGTATGCACCGACCTAATAATAATTAATTGAAGCTAAATGAGTCGTGAATAATCTAAAAACGAATGGGACCAATTGCAACTTTAACATTTTTTTCTAGAAATAATGAAATTAGAATACCAGTAATATAGATCTTTTAAAACAAGATCGTTCGTCAATAAATTGATAATATTGCTTTAAGATTCAAGCTCCGTTCGTTTGACTAGGAAATATTCAACATTCTACGCGACCTCGAACCATGAAATCAGAAATGCTGCTGAAAACTGCATTCCCTTCAATGAAGAGCTCCTCTGTATCGCCCCCCATGTAAACAAATACCGTCTGGGTTAACTCGGACAGACTCGGCGATTAAAATCAAACGCGCCCAGCCTCCACCTGAATAATAATGGCTTGGCAATACGTTTAAAAATCATATTTCAATATCAAGGGAGTATTTCGTATGCGGCACCAATCACGTCTCGAATGCGACCACTTGAATTATCGATTGAACGATTTCAGAACGTTTTGCTTCGGCTATTCGTATTCAAGACGTCAACGAATGCTTGTTATGCGAGCGTACGTCTGACCCGTACGATCTGTTACCACTGACAAGCGACCTCCACTGTCGGAGAACAATCCTAACTGCAATGGGAGATCGGGAGTCACGGATAAAGGGTATGTATCAGTGATCGTCAGCTACATAATCCTCTAGTTAGCTGCCTTTCTTGGTAAACGAGGAAGTGATGTACAAAGGGAGTGCCACAGATGTTCTGAGGGGGCCATGAAGAGTATTATTCAAATTTATAATTATAGATTGATGTATAAATGACATTATGTAAGAATAAAAATTAGGATGAACGTTTGGTTTATTAAAATAGAGTAAGTCGAAGCATCGAACTAAAGAAGGGTAAGGATCTTTGATATTCAAGTTATAATAAGTATACTGTGGATTTTATGCATTTAGGGTAAAAAAGCTTTTGACAAATGTATGTTAAACATAACGAAAAGGTGTATCATGTATCTAAGATACATTCTGATACGTATCGATATATGAATATAATAATAACAGTAATGATAATATTAATATTCCCCACATACATTATATATATATTTTTTCCATATTATCGTACGCCATAAATGTATAAATTTTTCAGTCTGATAACAGGCTTTGTACACGCCCACCCATAGTACATCCAGCTTCAAGATCCGTGTACACGACGGAGGTTCGTAACGTGTAAAGAAATTCGTGGAATAAGTGTACCAAAGGATTTCCGTCTTTCCTCATGATGTATCATAATAATAAATCGCGTGGGACGGAGCAGTTCGTCTCTTCTCAATGATAATAAATATCGAAATTTTCCTGGTGAAAATGAATATCGAGTTGCAAGCGACATAATGAAATATTGCAGAAGTTCTCGAGCTTTATCACTGTCGTAACTCTAAGACTAGATATTCATATTTATTTCATACGGTATTTTATCATACAGCCTGACTTTTTCCAGTGAATATGCATCGACTATACCTTTGCATCTCGGTACAAAACTGTTAATAAAAATTGATGGTTTGACGCTTTTACTAAGAATTATGCGGAGGTGAAGAAAGTAAAGTTTATTCTTCATATATAAACTGTACGACGTTTTATAGATTTATCAAGTAGAGATATGATCTACCAAAGAATTTAGTTGCTGGATTTTCGGTTTTGATCGACGAAGTTCTCCACATAACTTATTCAGTAACAGAGATGAACAGAGAACTGTGTTCGAGGAAATACATTTTTCGAACAATATGACGCGGTATTCGGATAATTGACAAAGGATGGGGGATAATCGAAGTTTCGCTGCATTATTTATTTCCATCGCGGAGGTTCTACCCCAAAGTCTAACGAAATTGTGAAATCGAGCAGACTTGGCCAGCAGTTTCATCCGTAGAACATTGTAACCTTGTTTGTCTTTGCTATATCGCCATCAATTTTAAATGTTTCTGAAAAGTAGAATGGTTCATTTTGTAGCTGACTCTTCGAGAAATTAAATGTTGACCAGTATTTGTGTGCAGAAATTCGGAGAAGTGACACGAACGAAGAATGAAACTACAGTAAAGGGTTGTTTTGATCCTTCCTCGTTTCAGTAGTGTTTCTGTTAAGGTACCCGCTCAAGTGTAACCAACGAAACTGACATTAAAGAATACTATCCAAACAAGTGATAAGGATAAAATTTGAAAACGTCATATTTCACCTTTTCTTAATCTGTCATGATCTACTGAAGGATAATAAACATTCCCAAAAATGAAATATACACTATTCCACTTCCTAAAGTCTCAGCAACGAAATAAAGTGAAAACTTTCAGTAAATGATTAAATTTCAAGAAGACACAGTTAAGTGGAGCAGAAAATTGCCGCAGCTTGTACATTAACGGACGCCCAAATTCTTAGCCATTTTCCGAATGGCGGAACCTGCGAACGATCTTGGACTTTCCGCTAGGGAATTTTACGCTGTACGAAGCATGTAGTAATATTTGATGTCTCTGAATTATGAATTAATCGAAGGATCACGGCCCCATTCTATATCTCTTCATCTCCGTAATCAGCCATTGTTCTCTTGCCCCAACCATTCAAAAGAGTCTGACTTTATTTCTGTCTGAAAAGAATCCGAGGGCACTATGGCAGATAAAACAATGTAACAATTGAGAAAGGAATAAGAAATCAGCTTTTCAATTTACACAATTTCATCTGCACTTGTTCCAAAATGTTGAGGGTGTAGCGTATTAGGAGATAATGAAAAAGACTTTATAATTTAGTAAAAAGACACAGAGCGTTATAAAACCTCATCTTTCTCAGGTTTAGAAAAATATTAGGAAAATCAAAACTGAAAACACATTCTGGGACTAATTTGGTTGAAAGAAATGTTTGTAAGAAAGGTGCTAAAAATTCACAGACTTACCCAATAGTGGCACGGCATCCGACGTCGCTGGCATTGTCTCGGCGACCATATTCAGGAACACAGTGAGGGACAATAGAATGGTTACCCCTGCAAAAAACGTTAATCCAAATTATTATCGCATACACTTGTCTAGTAGTCAGACAAGATTAATTCACAAAAGCTGGTTGAGTTCGCAGCTGGTATTCCTCAAGCTTCCAAAATAAATATACTAGGTGTCCATGAGTTTTCTAATCAACACGAGCAATTGCGAATTTTATGTTTTATTCGATTTTTGCTCGTTACTCTTTATATTAAATTAGAATATTATTATTCGCGAGCTTTCTGTCCTGGGGACTTTAAAGAATCCTGTTCTATTGTATTTCTTTAAAAGTATGACAGTGAAGGCATTTCTCATCACGTTGCGCGCTGAAGCGTACGAATCCCATTGTATACTAATTTTTTAATTTCAAAATTACGGGAACGTTATTAATCCTTTGTTCTACAACGCAAGTGGTAATCAAGGTAATCGTAAGATAGCTTAATTAATGTAATAATAAATTAAAATTTAAACAAAGTAGGAAATTTCTGTAAATATGGGAAAAAGTGAAGACTGTCAAAGTGCTTGTCAATGTACAAGATAATTTCTGAATGTTCATTGATTTTAGTATTTCTGTACAGTTATTTTCGATGTGAATTTTGTTGGTCGAGTATCTTAACCTGGAGGTGTCTACGGATTCCAACAGATGATTCTCGGATCGAGGAAGACTGTTCGTTAAATTCCGATAATGTTTACTGATACATGAATGCGCGTGATCGAGATCGACGCGATTACAATCTCTCGTGAATTCGATACGTTACGAGAACTTGACTGAATCTAATCATGTGAGATGTTGTAGCGTCCTCCGAAGCCTGCAAGGAATTGGGATTATGCAACCATGCGATCTGAACTTGGCAGAAGCGAGTAATCATTGGAATCCGAAGAAGAACTCATAACTACATAGTTGAATCGCGTGCATGCACTCGATAAAATATACCAACTGAGTAATCGACCGGATTTCCTAACAAACACGCTCCTTGGTGTCTTTCTTTAACGAACAAGCACCACCTTTTAATTTTTGTCCGACTGACACGTAATTCACGAAAGGAGTATTTTGTAGATGAAACTTTAGCTGTCATTTTTATCAAATTTGTGGGTTTCTAAATCTTAATTTGGATACTCTTTTAACTTAATCGTTTTTCGAGTTGGTATGTTGGTATAAAAATTTTGTCAACTTTTGGTCAGTTTGTTTTTATCCGAAACCTTGTATTGTAAAATATTTGATATTCGAAGAGTTGTCGACCGCGACGTATACATTGCATGGTTTTTCAAAACTATATTCCCCGCAGCCAGCAGGCCATATTGTTGACGAAACAACTAGAAATGTATTGTCACGCAATGTTAATAGAAGCACTTTATAAATATACATTTAATTTTCCACGGTACTGCGTGTTGTGCCAATGTCAGTATCGATTTCGCTACCAACAGCTTCACCCGATAACCTAAACTTACCTAAAGAGAGCTTCTCGCCAGAGTCTGGCGGCAAGGTGAATCCCAGAACGGCCATACTAGCAATCAGGACGCATGGCACGATCAAGTTGAAGAAATAGTAAAGAGTTCGCCTTCTAATGATGACCACGAACGTAATATCTATGTACGGTTCTGGGCAGCAATTATAGTAAATTTCGTTCCTCTTTCCGGGCACTCCTGCAACATTTAATTACTTCATTAAAAAAGTCTCCCCTAAAGCAAAAAATAAAATAAAATTCGAAGGGGGAGATGTTTGCGATGAACGTTTCTATATTTCTCAATTTTTTGCGAACGAAAAATGCAACGTAAGTTTAATGAACGGAACAAAGAAGTCGATGAAACAACTAAAACGGAAGGAGGACGAAGCGCTGGCCGTTCGAGGCCGTCGATTTCACTCGCTCGGAGGGAATGCTTACAGAAATAAAAGATTAGCTCCGATAGCGATGACTCAACTATTTTATGCGGAGTGCGCCATGCACTTGAATTATCTCGAGCAACATACCGGAAGAGAGTCGGCGACTTTATTTTCAAGTGTTCCTTCAGTTGCAACCACATTTTCCTGCGGCTGAAGTCTCTTAAGATACATTTCTGCCAAGAGCTTCATAAGCTCTCTATATACCAAGGTACATACTAACACTCCGCGCGTACACATCCCCGGAAATAAAAGCTACGCGTCCCCAGAGCGATACATTTTTAGTTTACAATTTTCCTAAAACCGTCTACGGCGCGCCCATACATTCCCGGGAATAAATATGCTTCATGCATCATTTATGCCTCGTGTTCCAACATACTTCTTATTTCGCATTCCTTGGGTTAGAATAAATAAAAATATCGACTGGAATAATATCGTTGCAAAAATATATATGAAACTACTATAACTCTTCGCAAGATTTATTATATGTATTCAATTATAATTTTCTTTACTCCTTGGATAAGAATGGTACTGCAGGGGAATCGATAACCTTGATAATTCATTAATAAATATGTAAATCGTAGAACATTCCTGTTGAACAGTATTATTTACAAATTTTAATTCTCTTACGAAAAATTACAATTTGCTAAAGAATATTTATCAACGAGATAGCTCTGCTATACATATGTTTATTAATAAGTTGCCAAGAATATTGGTTTCTCTCTACTTTCCTATCTCAATCTTGAAGTGAACGAAATTATAATTGTAAATGAAAATGAATAATAATTCAAAGCGTCATCCCTTGCACAGAAATTTCATCAAGGGGATGGAATGTAAAGTTATACACCGCCACTCAAAAGTTTTAGAACAGTTTCTAAGTTTTAGGAGAGCATAAAGGAAATAATGGAATCGTTGCAAAATTTAAAGGAATTTTAATTCCTGGTGCATACGATGCTCGTATACGATGGTCCAATAAATAACACAGCATAGGACATGCTTTTTTTTCTGAATAAACAACATGTATTTGCCGAACAACAATCAGGATGCCCCTGAGCTGCTTTCTCCATCGCTTATCATCATTGTCGAATTTACTTTCCATTTAACCGAAAGCAAACTAAACGTCTCCCAGTCTGTTGACAATTTGTGGAAAATAATGAACAGCCGCAGTTTGCAGAAAAGTAACGATGTAAATTCGCTTGCATTGGAGCCGTCGATTCAGCGCAAACATTTCGCGATATCCCGCAGTATGAGAGCAAATAATTCAACGGGGCGCTGCGCTAATGGTACATTATTAAGTGACTGTTGTCTCGCTCAACTGTTTCAACCATTCCAGAAATGCAGATGAAAAACTTTCCCCGCGACTGCAAGCTACAAATAACTTCCTCCTTTCGTATTCATTTTGATTAAAAATGCGCGACTGCTCGGAAATGATTTACAGACTGTATCTTCCATAATTATTGCCCCACGTGCGTATGAATCATTAGGACTCGGACCTTGGCCCCGCGTGTGGAATTAATTGTGCAAATAAATAGAATATTGCAATCAGTTTTCTCAAGGTAATTACAATGTATGGCTGAATTTAGGTACAGAGTGATCTACGTACAGTGTTCTACAAGGATGCCTGTATGAAATAATTTTAGTTCTAAAATAGAAACAAATATTGTTTAGTATGCCTGTATAATAAATTGACTACGATGACGTAGATCTTCGAAAAATTTAACTTGAGAAAATCAATACGATCCGTTTGTAATAAAATTAACTTATGTGATTTGTCTCACGTTGTAGTTACCTTACACCTTTTGACTTGTACAGTTACATATATCTTAGTCATGATTCGATAACACTGAAAACCTAGATCGTTAAGTGTCTTATTAATTTTCGTTTGAACGTGGACTGGATTGTTCGCGTATATTAAACCAGCAATGGTTGTTTAAAAAAATGAAGCTTTCAAAATTCTGAATGGCATAGAAGTATTCAACCGAGATATTGACTAACAAATTAAGTCATTCGTTAATGGGTATTAGATTCGTCGAGCAAGCGTGCATTAGTGTAACACGCACGGCTCGCTGCGATCGAAATAATTGGAGTGATTTATAGTCGGAGTGAGAGGGTCCTTAATTAATTTTCGCTCTTGAACTCGAATATGTTATTTCCCAGTTTAGCTGGCGACGGAAATCTGAATTAGATAAAGCCCGGTAGTAAGATGCAGCTGCCGTCGACTTACGAAACGATTGATCGCGTGTCCTTTGTGCCCCAGGACTCGCCCGAGGATTTTAGAATTGCTAATCGGCGCGGAATTGCTTTCACGGGCGGGCGAACTACTCGGTTGTACGTCGGGAAACGATCCCCGATAAGGGTTGTAAAAACTCACCTAACAGATCCCACTCGCCGTTAGTGATGAAACTGCTGATGTCACCGCCGGCCTCGTCTTGCAGTTGCAGGTCCAACTGTTGAAAATTTAATGCAATCGATTAGACGAAAAGTTATTGTAACGCGGCACGCGAGGGTTGACACGGAATTCGATAGGGTACGATTGTGCCAGATCTGCCGGATGCATTAGATATGAAAAAGGGACGATGGGAACTTCTTGTTTTATTATGTATGTATTTTCTCGACGTAAAGAGTGGTTCAGGACGGAGGCGCAGTCAAGCGCGAGGGAATTCCAAACAGGTGGAAAAGTGGAAAACAAGTAGAAAATGTAAAATGGAATTTTGTAGGTTTCGTTTTATTATAATTTCCATATTTTGGACGATATAAATTGTTTTATCTTTGTAGAACTTGTATTCTTTATTTTTTAGTTTCACGAGGGAAATATTTCAAGTATCATACTCTTTTTGTAAGTATAACAACACATTTTAGGTGAACCACTTTTTCAAATGGAAATACTATCTTCTCGTCATTCTACATGAAAAATATACTTTGGGTACGGTGGTTGGAGATTGAATAGTTTCTGAGGTACTTTAAATAAATTAGAAATATCTACGTACACCAGTATATTGGAAAATTTATGTACAATAACATGAACTGATATTTTCGAGAGGTTTGTCAAATTTGATTTAATTTTACAATTAAATTGAATTGTTTCCCTTTTATTCGTCGTTTAAAATATAGTATCTAGATAAAAAAATTTGCTTATCACCAGATAGAGCTACAAACTTTTGAACCGTCTACTAACTGGGACGTAAATAATCGACGTGCAACGAGCTGAATTATTCGCCATACAATAAAAATGTTCTGTCATGGATTCCCAACATTCACAAAATTATTTCGGCTTTTTTCCCTCAAAGCTAAAAGTCTACCTGTCCAGAAAATTCCGTGCATTATTAAATTTTGAGCGCGGTATTTAACACGTGCTACTTTGAAGTGTACTCTTCTCTCTATTTCAATCCGAATCTTATACGAAGTAAAATCCTACAGAGGTCGACTCATTTGCGGAACATAAAACGAAGCAAAGCGAGAGAAAGTGATCGAAAAGGAAGACTACTTTGCATCTTGTTCGTTATTCAGCAAATCGAATGCAACCCGGGGAAACCATCTTGTATTTCACTTTCTCTGTTCCACTCCTCTTCCCTCACCGCTATCTTCCCCCGCTGCTACTTCGTCTTGCTTATTGTCCTCCTTAATGAACCCTCGAGCAGTCTCAGATTCCGTCGCATCGTATAATTCGCATCCTCAATTTTAATTATTCAAAATGTTCACGGGGCGACGAATGAAGATAGGTCAGGTATTCGCGGTGTCTTATATAAGTACCGAATTACGGGAAGCTCGTTTCTTCCTCGATCGATACGATGAAGTACAGGTGAAGTACAAGTTCGTTTTACTTTTCAGAAATCGATTGCCAGCAATTGTTCGACTTTGTTAAACATACGAAGCACAGATTGGTGCTTAGTGCCTTCTTAAAGCGTGTATTTCAAGGAGTACAGTGCACGGCATAGTTAACATTTGTGTTAAACTGTGTTAGAGTTGAATTACTAAACTATTGTATTGCTTCTTTTGTATTGTTACTATTATATCGCTAAAAAATGGTTTGCCTGGTACCTATGAAATTTAATAAATATATACCAACATTCAAACGTGCCTTTGAATATTTTTTAAAAATTGGCACGATCTTTCTGAACAATTCAATAGAAAACAAAATAAGAGTGATTGAAGAATCAGATACAGAAATTTTTAATGTAAACAGGTAGCTCTTTTTCTTCTAACATTAAGATCAATCGTTCGTTAAGAAAAATTTGGACTTTAAAGGGAACGAACATCTTAGTTGTAAATACCTGGAAGCCGTCGTACGTCCAGGAGCCGAATTTCATTTCACAGCGTTGATCGTCAAAGGGGAACCAAGTAATGTCTATCTTGCAAGTGCTCTTGAATATACCGGGCGGTACGTACAAGCAGGTTCCATTGTCCTTGACGACGACGTTCGTTGGATAAGTGCCGTCGAACCCCTCATCCGCGCTGTAACGAACAATCGTTAATGTTAAACGCGTTTCGATTGATTTTTAAACGACGTTTGAGGTCTCACTAGACCCCAATCGAGAGCTAAAGGTAAGAGAATGAACGCCGCGATTCACGTAGCTTAGGCAACTCGAGGGTACCCAATGAATATTAGAGGTGGATATCGAGGTTTACTAGCTACGTAAACGTATCGATCTTTTCGAGAATTCTTCTTTTTTTTTATAATAAATGAATACTGGTGACAAATCAAACGTATGTCCTTCGCAATTAAAATGTACAACTTCCAAATAGAGACGGTCGTGCTGGTGAATTTTTAACTGTAAAGCCCAACAAATGGAGAGCTAGTTCATTAATATGAACACAATTTTAATTATTCAAAATGTTAACGGGGCGACGAATGAAGATAGGTCAGGTATTCGCGGTTATATATGATGGACATATATGATGGACAAAGCCATCGAAGGGCAACTCGGCTAGTTCTGAATCATTAAACCGTTGATCACGGAACTTATTTGAAGGGAATATGTCATCGTTGGGATATTAAGTTGCGTATTGGCGATACCATCGATTTGGTTTAAATATTCACATAAACGCGAAGGAAATTAGTAAAACCATGCTTTTTAGGATTTAGTAACGTTTCATGCAAATTGTTTCAACATGAGAATATTACATTTATAAAAGTCTGTTCTCCTCTTTAGAAATAACTTTTCTAAACTGAAGTCAAGCCATTATTGTTATTAATAAAATTTTATAAAACACTTGTCACAAATCTGTAGAACTAGTAAACTTATTATTTCATTCTTTATAGACAGTGCTAGTCATACAAATTTCACAGCCCTAAACGTGACACCGTTTTACTTCTTCAATGACCACTGTTATAATTTCCATTAAATTTGACATTTGTTAACGTGTCACAGTGTATCGCTGGTGTGCAAGTGCCATCAATTTCCGTCAGATAACATTGAATGATGTATTGTCAAGTATCTGTTATCGAGTAACAAATTACTCTTGCGTACGGTACACCAACACAGCCTCGTCATCGCGAGTTAATTATAGAAAATTCCATCGTGCTCCTTTGTAGTTCTACTCCAGTTACTTGACAATCCCGGCGCTTTGTTTCGTTGCAATCTACTAACAATGGCAAATCGAATTCGGAGTTGAATTCTACGCGAGTTTGTCACGATGCTAATCTATCATTTACATACAGTGACTCGTTATTGTACAATTACCCGATGAAAACGAATAGGTTGAGCTACAATGTAAACAATGACGTTGATCTATCGATGGACGTTCGTTAGAGGCGTGAGTGTAACTACTGTACACCAAAAGTGGGCGAGAGAATTAAGTATTTTACATTGACTGAGTCTTCAAGTGTGTGTTAACAAGAATTTTATAATTTATGTAATATAATAATGAAGGTGAATACAAAACAATATGAGTCCAAATGAATACTTCTATTCATACCAAGTGTGAATATTCAATTACAATTATTAGTCTTTCATTTATATTAAACATTCATCAGCCTCCTTAGGTTAGTAGGTGAATTTCTAATTTCAAATTCTGTCTATACTTTTACTTATATCGACTGTGAATATTCAATTACAATTATTTGCCTTTCATTTATCTTATACATTCATCAGTATCTTTACAGAAGACTTTGGATGACCTCAGACGTCGAACTCGTCAGAGCTCATCCAAGATGTAACAAGATTTCAAAACCGTCTAATGTCCTTCGCGATAAAATCGTTTTATTCTTATTGCCAGGATCGCTAGTTTCGAGAAGAGGGAGTCATCCGCAACTGTGTCACCGAGGACACGTCAGCCAGAGAACGAGACCTCGTCCAGGAGCGCTGTGTCTATAAATCAAGTTGCTCAAGTATTCCGTGCATAGTCAAACATGATCCGGAAAGAAAATGAATCAGAATCCTTCCAAAGCGAGTAAATTTTCCGCCGGTGGACGTTTAAGGGGTTATTTCGTCTCGAAACGGGAACAGCGTCTCGCGGAAGCGTCGTCCTGATTTCCTCCAACAGTTTCACCGCTTGCCATCTCTCTCCCCTGAAAAACGTCAGCACCTCCCCGCCTTTCCGTCTATATTTATATTCATAATTACGAGCAATTCGAACGGAAAATTCGCACGGCAGCGCCGGACGACCCGTCGAATCGCTGGAGTATCGTTAATGAATGCGAAACGGGGAACTCCGGAAAGACTTGGCGGGAATCGTTCATTCTCAATTATTGTTTCTGTCTCAGTCCGCCTAAGAGCAGCTCACAGGGAAATATGATTTTGAATGGGGATGCATCAGGACGATTCCACGGGGCACGGATATAGGTGGGTTGAATGGTATACATAATATACTCCCACATCCAGGCGACTAAGGATTGGTTGGAACCCGGCCAGTTGGCCGCAACCCAATCCGTTATTTCATTCTTTTTGAATCCACCCTCTGTACCACCTCGTACTCACCCTGCTGCCCTGCCACACCCACCAACACGACCGCCGCCCTCTCCCTTTGCTCTCAAACCACCCGCGCCCTCCTAATCCCCCTTCACACCACAGTGCACTCTGTGCTTGCACGTTTCTTTTCGCCGCATGCTAAATTCGCATAAGCAGCGTCCCCTTTGACAACGAAAATTAAATTCCCATCGGGGCTTCTGTGCTACCAAGGATGATAATGTGTATGCGGCCCATGTAACGGCGGTATTTATGCGCCATGACCGAGCGATGAATTAGTATCGATTTACGTTTAAATGTTGAGCCTGTTACTCGCAGCGTTTGGCTTCTGAAACGATTTCTAAGTAGACGCGAGCATTAATCCGCGACTTTGTAGCGGATGCCAAGCAATTAAGTCGCTCGCGTCAATTTCGTCGAGGGGATTCCCCAATTTGAGCGATTACGGTAATTTAGACGCAGAGAAGGGACGCCAGGCACGCCAGGGTTGGGTGAATTGGAAAAGGAAGTGATTTGAGGAATATCAAAGGGTTAAGTTTAACTACAGGAGAAAATATGCGAATTAAAAATAAAGAAAGTGGATCGAAATTGGGTGATAAAAAGATGTGAATGAACGGGGTTTTGTTTAATATTTTCTTCATTAAAAAATATTTACTATAGTCAATCCCATAAGTATTCGCACCCTCTACACCTAGACAAATCTTATTTCTTCCTCTGTGAAATATTAACTACTTCAAAAAATCGCAATGTTTAACCCTTAATTCATGCTAACTGAAATCTCTTCAAATATCGTCGTTCAGCTCCAAACCCGTCGTCACCAATACATTAGAATCGAAGGTCGATGACGTCACTAGGCAAAAAATATATTTCTTCCCAATTAATACTATAATTAATACCAAAAAGAAAAAGGAATTTCTCATTCATCATCGGCCTTCGTTTCGTTTCCAGCGTGCTCCACAACATTGAACCGTAAATGAGATCCGCGCACACTCGAGGGCATTAACAATTTGCGGTAATTACATTCGACGAGGACGCTCCAATAAACTTGGACGCAAGTTCAGCACGCTCCCGTTCGCTTCTTAAAAAAAACATGGTTCCATAAATATCGTCCCGTCTGTTCGTTCCAGCGTCCTATCGCGATTTCGACGATCGACAGCCGTGGCTCGTCATACACACACGTGGATGTGCGCGATCGTTCGTATTTGTGCCAGTCAAGTCCGCCCAGGTAAATAGTTTCGGTTCGTGAGCCTTCAAACCCTTTCCACGGCACTCGACGGTCCCGTCGATGGCGCACATGCTGGGAAAATCGAAAGGGAAGAGAGGTGAATCCGTGATTGGGGTTGTAGGTACGGATGGGAAAAGGAAGGGGGACAGGAGCGGCGATCCTCCGGGGTTGCAATTGGCTCCTTCTGTGTCACGGCATCGTTCCGAGTTTTGTGATCGCCAAAACGAGCCAACCACGTAAACGGAACAATATTCGAGTGGAAACGAGCGACCCGATGGATGTGTAATTTGCACGAAATCCGAGGAAGAAGCAGATTTCATGTGTCCTTTCACCCGTACCGTTCCTACGAATCGGTTTCGGGGAATAAAGGGGAACAGGGATACGTGGACCACTTTTCGGTTGTACTTTTGTAATCGAGACTTTAGGATCGATGATCTCTATTTGAATTTTAATTGGGGTCTTAATCGCACAATGAAACATTTCACAGTGACGAAGTCAAAATTTATCCATCCATTTTTTGAAAAGTTTCTGACGGAATCTTGCTTATTATTAGAATTTCTTGTAACCTATAATCACACAAACAATTACATTTTGAATACTATACAGGAATAGTTATACAGAAGAATTGACCATGTTATTATCTGAAACGTGTTCGTATCGAAAAAACATTAAAAAATTGTAAAAACATGACAAATTTCCTAAAGCTAGAGATTTAAATTATTCAAATGAAAAGAAAACTGCAGAATTAATAAACTATACATCCCTTTGAAAGCACTAAACCTACGTTTTCAACTAGTACGAATGGACATGAATATAGAAAGAATCGTCACTTAAAAATTCCATTTCAAGTGTTTAAGGAACGCGTGGATCTGTCGTTCCTCGCGGAGGATTTCGAACGGTTGGGAAAACATCATTGCGAATTAAGTGGCTACTCGAACCGGGACACCATTGTCTATCCGAAACTCTACCATGCAACCGGCGCTGCAAATATAACTCCATTATTACACGACATTTGGCAAAGCCACTGCTGGTAGACGGTTCTCGAAAATGTTCACGAACTCATCGTATCAGCCGAGATTTTCCTGTCGTTCGAAGTGAAAAATCGTTTCGTACCTTCAGCCAAACTACTTTCCACTTGTGTCTTGCCATTAAACACCGTTGTCGCGAAAACCTTTCGCCCTCTTGGATATCTCATTGCGGCCACACCGAATGTCAAGAAGACAGAGAATCATTTTGTTCAGAGGAAGAAATGGGAAAGTTATCTGGATGGACGATTGTTTTACAGCTTAGTCGAGTATGCTTCAGAAATACTTATGGTTCACCAA